GTTGAAGCAATTAGAAATAAGTAGAATCATGAAACTTCATTGATTTCGCTAATAATCAAATCCGTATTTTTCGTCATGTTTCTCGACATTTTTGTTCTACTTTCCGTCCTCTGACTGGCACGAACCTCGTAGTTCTCTCTCTTTGATCTGCTTTAGACACATATGAGATGGTGAATACGTCACGAATGACGTGAACAAATCATCAGACAGCTCGTATTGCTGTGGTAAAGCTGACAGCTGTTTTTCAATAAAATATCTCATGCGAGGGTAGGAAACTTAAAATCGGTCGTTTCGAGTGGGACCTTCAGGCACGATGGAACTAAAAGCGAAAATATAGAGACGTGTTAGACGGAGTATGTCTTCCAGATGTCTCATGAAGGCCTCGTGACGCGTCTTTCGGCACCTCTTTGCTCTTTCGGGCAGTTACGGTTCGAGGAGAGGAACCGGATCGCGAATAGACTCCAGATAGTGGATGACGAGTCATGGGATGCGAGCTGACACCGTGTTTCTCTCGCGTCACGCCCAACTCTTGCCCTAATTCGCAGTTCGTGCCTTCTTCTAGTCTAGTGCGAAGGATCGAGAGTGACAGAGTTTTCACGCGGTGTCGGCTGGCATCTTGCGACACGTCGTTCGCTACCCGACACCTATTCGGGATCCGGTTCCGCTTCCGTGATTGTTTTCACCGTCGAGTGTGTTTCAGAATTAAGCTTTTCCCCACGCCCAATGAACACTGAAAATATCCGAAAATACCTCCAGGATATCTCAATTAAGACGCAAGATATGCTGTGGGCTCCAAACGAAGATGTATTTAACACAGCTTCTTTTCTCCCGTCCTAACGCGTTTCCTAGACAACAGAGAAGACGTAACGAGGACGTCTTCGAGTTACATTTAAGATCGTGAAATGCAATCCGAGTCCGTAATCCCATCCCAGGCTATTTTCCCCAAACGTAAGCATTCCATACGGCGTCTATTCAAATATCCTTTTCCTTGATTTGGAGCCAAAGACGTAAGCTTCCTGGTTTATTGCTGTGAGTGGAAAGTAAAATCTGCATCCTCGTATCCCACGGGGAATGTCTAAATCCAAAAATCAAGGTTCAACGGTCCGAAGAGTTTTCACGCATTCGTCTCGGTGGATTTCGACATCGAGGAGCTCACATAAATGAATGGAAGTGTGATGTTTTCATGTGATCAATACTGGGTACTGATGAAAAGAAAAAGGAAACACTTCTAATCTAGTGATGCCATGAAAGAGGAACTGGATGAAATTTCCGCACTCGAGAGTTTGTAGAACACGTCTTTCATCTGTAGAACACCTGCGACTAAAACTCATTCCTCGTTGGCGTCGTCTCACACGTTCAGTTGACCCGAAATACTTGAGTTGAAGATCTGGAATAGTTGAGAGGGCTAACATTCCCCTTGCAAAGACGCGATGCCTTGGGAAATGTGCGATTTTGTTGTTCCACCGCGGACCTGCGTCGGTTCGGATGGCAGGGCAAGGTTTACTCTAGAGATATGCGTCTTTAGGTTCGCAGATGCCCCACCGTGTTACTGAGGCGATGTCGATTGCCGTGAGGCAAATGAGGAATGCTGCGCCATTCTTCGTTAAGGAGGAGAATAGAAGGCCAAACGAGGACAGGAAGTGTGTAAAGGCGTAGAAGAGAGAGCAACATATGGGGGAAAGACAAATAAGCTTTCGGGCTGGAAACCCTTCATCAGACGGGGAACACAAAAGCGAAGAAAAAAAAAAAGGGAAACCAAGCTGGAAAAGCTTCGGGGAGACTCAAGTTACGGAATGAATTCGTTACGTGTCGGGGAGTGAATGCGTCGTCTCTGCTCCTCACGTCAAAGGAGATGCATGCCTTCATGGACAAAAAGAAAATGGAAAGACCATGGGGGGAGGAATAAGAATATGAACGAATCATCCAGGGATTGACATGCACCTCAAGAAAGTATTTTTTATGAGGGGAGGGCTTATCTTAAACCGCGATCAGACGCCGTAATTTCGCTCACGTGCGGACTGCTTCTATATGAGCTCTGAGTTCGTGTAATCAGGGTTTATGGGCGAGTCGTGGACTCATGTGAGTAACATGTCATCTCGCAAGGTCTCGAGACCTGCGTGACTTTCATGCGATCGTCGACTGGGGGACATTGCATAGTCACCGAACGGGTTAGCTGGTGCAGTCGGCGGGGCGCGGTGCTTTCCCGTGCGGCCCGATCTCCGTCGTCCGATTTCGACCGGTGGAATCTCGTGTGGTCTCGCGTCTTTTCGGAAGGGGTGCTGAGGGGGAGTATCGCGATACTGATCGCGGTGACACGTGATAAAAGTTTAAATGAACTCAACGGTACTTCTTACTAATTGATGAAGTCCTGGACTAAGAGCCAAAACGGGAAATTTGAACAATTTTTCACGCCTCATCCTCCTGATGGGGTCGATAGCCTACAAATGCAGTGCGCCATAAAAGAAGCGTAGAAGATTTGTTCACTCCCGGAGTTTTCTCACAGTCGTGAGAAATTCTCGTGATTTTTGCTCTTAGCAAATGCACTCAAATGTGACTCGCATTTGAGCAAAATCGTGGCGTTTGATTCCGCCACTAGATTGGAAAGGTCGAGATCGAGACTCGAGATGTCAATAAAAAGCAGAATTGCCTCTTGACGTCCCGGCCCAGACCTTCCACGAAATCGCTGCGGGGTTTCTCCCAAGAGTTTCGTGCGGTCACAGCCGGGAGGACAGCGTTTCGACGAGACTCCGTGTTGCGGCAATAGGACCCCTAAAGAGCCGTGGAGGTTGCTCTCACGATCCATAAAATGTACGATACGATGCTTTCGACACGAAAGGGAATGATCGTAATTCACCTGAAGCTCGCCATTCCTCCTCCGACGAAAATTCGCCCATTTCTCGTAGCAGACTGCCTGGAAGAGTAGGCTCGGGACTCTTCGTCGATGATCTATTTACGATCAGAAAAAGAAGACAGTTTTTCAAAAGTTCTGGCGGCAGGATCGGCGCGACGGGACGAGTCAGGATGGAGTAAGAAGTCTGTGGACCCTCGGGCGTGCAGAGGGAGTCGATTGCGTCATCGCGTGGATGGTGCGGACTGCCCAAGGCTGCCTTCTGACCTACCGACTTCCCAGCGCATCCGCGGCTTGGCATCGGTGGAAGTCTCGTCGACTCGATGGTGCTTGGTCTGTCGTCGGGAACGAGAGACGAGTGCGGGGGAGGGGGGAACTTCCAGTTTGAAAGCGCGTGGAAGCCGAAAGGAAAGCCCTTTATTACCGCTTGACAATAGGGTATCGCAATCGCTTGTCCTCAGTTCAAAGTCTCGACGAGGTGAGGTAGCCCAGAGCCGGGAATCCTTTCACCAGGTTTTCAAGGACTTAGTGATTAGATGATGCCCGTAGACGCGTGCGACATCTGGCGTTTCTTTGAGACACTGAATGATGGCTCGCGTGGACCCATCGATCCATCGACTCTCCAAAGAGGTATCGACCCTGGGCTCAGTTAATATGCGCGTCAGCCCTGCTGGCTACGAGATAGAAGTGCCGATTCACAAGTAATATTAACATGTTGATAATGCTTTTAGATTGTGCATAATTCCCACCTCCTTTTCTCGGACTCGGACCGACCTTGATTCAATGACATACGAATATTCATGATGTTCCTGCCTCGAGGTTACAGAGTCACTCATGATAATCTATTGGAATATTATCAGGTTTTGAGATTCTTGCCTCTTAACACATACACTGCCATGTGCGACTGTAAAAAAAAGTACTTTTTCAAACAACGAAAATAAATTTCCAGTCGAGCTGTGAGTTAAAATCGATATCTACATCGCTTTTTCTATGTCTCCTTTATGTTTCCCAAATGTTTTGTAGCATTTGAGCTACACCTCTGAAAGAATTTAATAATTTGAGAACTGTTTGGAACGGATTCGTGAAAACGGCTATAGCCGTCTTCGGCAGCGAATGTGTTAAATTGAACGAGCAAAAATTGACTCGTACATTGAAAGAGAACTCTTGTCAAGTCAATCATGCAATATGCGGCGGAGACAAAAACCAAAACCGGGGTGATAATTTTCATGTAGAATTTGAATGAAAAGAAATCAAGTTTCACAAGGCTCTCGCGAGCGATTTTCGACAGGTGTGCATCTCCTTTGATAAATTCCCTCCTAAATGGTTATGGCTTTTTTCTGAAAGCTTTTTTTTTTGGATATATGCAAAGCTGGTAGAGCAAAGAATGTTTTATGTATAACTAGGGGCTGGAGGTAAAAATAGCATTAGAAAATGAATTTTCGCCGTGCAAGTTTGAGAGAAAAAAACAGCAGCAATCGGCTTTTCTCGTCTATTTTAAAACTCTATTGAGGGAGAGACGGGTCTTCGCGCGTGAATGCACGTGAGGAACTCTATCTTTGGAGTATCTCGTCGAAGTCGAAGCGGTACCGAGTCAGGTGCAGCTATGCAAATGGGGAACATGAATTGAGTCTCTTGCGCACTGCCGATAGAGGTCTTCCCGGGCCCGTTCCGAGCCATCGCGCGTTCCAAGCTATGTCCACGAGTTGCATAAATGCATCGGAGGCCAATGTCATGTGGATGCCAGTTGCGAATGATAAGATTGGCATTCATTACTCGTATGAACCGTTACTCGAAAAATAAATATAAATAAATTACGGAGGATTGAAGCAGAACTGCTAAAGTGAAGGGAAAAAAAAACTGGCTCCCGTTTAGTGTACGGGTGTGAACCTCTAGCATGGGATCCACGACAATAATCGTAACTTGTTTATATAACCGTTTGGTATCAATGAATAGCTTATTTCAATGCCCATTCACTTTCCCAAACGTGTTTGGTACGACCATCTCTCACGACGGATAATCGCGCAGGGGACGACGAGAGCAAGCTCTCGAACGAGTTTGTGGTGCGTCCCAGCCTGTCAGACAGTGCATGGAATGTTGATTCGTTCTCGGTAATGCTTCAAGAGCTCTAACTTGGAGAAATTCGTCGTGGAGAATGCATGCTCCAGCGGGATCGATCACGGACTCCGAAAGGAAGTCCACTTCATTATCCCTGGGGTGAGAGGGGGGGGGGGGGGGGGGTAGTTTTTTGCGATTATAGATACTTTCTACGAATACCAGAGGGTGATATCGGTGCTGCACAGCACAGAGTGCCATCTGATCTGTTGTCAAAGTGGATTACTTGCTTCATGTACACCGAACGGTGACAGAATCGATCCCTTCGAGAACTCCGTCGATAAACAACATTTCTGTTGAGCGTGATAGGATGACTGAAGTGGACAGATTAAAAAGCTGAGGCACGTATCTACAGTTAGACGCAAATGGAAGTAGATGAGAGTACTCGAGGCCTGCTATATAGTGTTTTTCATTGGACTCAGGCCCGTGCATAAAGTGTGTCCCATTTTCATGGGTATCTGAGTCAAGTGGAAAAAAATGCCGACCCAGGTGAAACGTGAAATAAAAGGTCTTTGGGGGCAATTCTAATGGTCCTAACTTGCATGAAGCAACACTGACAGAACGAGAGAAATGAGAATGTCCCTGAAAATAAATGTTAACAGAAATCAGGTCAGACTTTATATCCAAATGAGCACCCATTTGGAATAACAAGACACACTTGACAGAAATTGGCTTTAAAAATTACGATCCTTGCCCGTTGCAAGCACGTTGCTGAAATAAGAGGCGGGCCTTTATCTCAAATTATCTAATCATGATGACCTTTCTTAAATGTGCGCTAGAGATCCATCTCATTTGAAAAGCAACAGCCACTTACCTGGATGTTGCACCCGTTATCAGGAGTGCCATGGCCAGCGCACGTGACTGCCGAGTGGATCTGACGACGCATGGCCGGAACGTGAGACCCTGGCGTTTAAATGCCATCTGGTGACGAAATAGATAAATTTTCTTTATACCGACCTGGTGTATGCATGGAATGACGCGATACCGATTGTATAGTAGAATAACGACAAAAGCCAGATAAGCCTTGGTTTTCGCAGGGGCGTATTCAAATGGGGTCATTCACCCTCGCAACAGCGATCACATGGCTTCGCAGTGGCATAGTCAGGTTCAAGGTCTACGTCGTCATATTGCCAATAACGAAAGGAAGTGAGTTATAGGACGGAAAGTCACCAAAGGAAAGAATGAGAGAGGTGCTCACTGTTGGATCGATGCCTCCTCCTCCTCGTGCGTGCTGAAGGCGCATGTGAGCAGAGAGAGTGGGAGAGAGAGAGAAGGGTGAGAAAAGAGAGGGAAGCCCGTGTGCATCTGCATTCGCTCGCCCTGCCAGAGTCAGACGCGGTTCAGTTCACAGTTCCAGTCCGTCTCTAGCCTGAGACCAGTGTACACTGCGTGTGTGGCTATCCTCTTCTTTCCCTCGTTTATTTTTTTCCGACTGCATCATAGAAAATGTGCTCACGGTGCATTTTCCTCTCCCCTCCGTGTGAGTGACCTTGACCTAACTTTTTTCAAGTAGAAGCAGAGACTGCATAAGATAAGAAGAGAAAGTATGTCTTTTGTAGACCCTCTCGTTCGTATCGATCCGGCCCCCAGTGTTTTGGCATCCGGCCAGACCTGGCAGGAAATTCGACTTGGGTTATGTACCGCACTGTACACGGCGTACTGTTCCTTCATCGTAAAAGCCTCATGAACCTGTTCCGTGTCCACGCGGAAAACAACGCACACGAAGTGGCCGGATTTTATCTATTCTCGTGTGTGGGAAACCTGATACCGTCTTTTGTGTGCATGGCAGGAAAAGGAACAGACAAATTAGGAATCGTGTGTAAATTGAGTACAAAAAAGTATTTCCTCTTCTGTTGCCGGAGCGATGCCTAGGCCCGGAAGTCTTATCCGGTTTTTTCACTCAAGCCTAGATAAAAGCAGGCAGAACCAGTACGGACAAAAATGGAAAATCCTGTTGTCCTTAACCTGGAAGGCTGACCGCTGCAACTTTTTTTCTTTTAAAATATATCATCTCTTGTTCGATGCGTGTGGCTTCAATAGTGCCCATGCGCGTGGCGAACCTGTTGCTGCATAAAGAAGAACGATCATGTCAGGACTAAAGAAGAAGATAAGCCTCTGATGAGATGGTTGAGAGAAAGTGGGAGGAGATATAGCCCGTTTCATTCTCTTATAATGGGTGGTGCTCGGGATTCATCAGTTCCAGGCCGGTAATTGATCCGGGAACAAAGGAAAAAAAATTCTCTCGAAAAAAAAAAAAATCCTCGACCTGATTCCCTTCTAAGTCATGCTTGTCGCCATTTCTCAGGCTATGTATTGCTTCATCCGTGATGTCTTAATGCCGATTTCTTACTTCATTTTCTTACCGACTGAGTGATAATGCTTCATTTTGTGGTTTATAGGAAGCACTTGGGAGGAACAGGCGAAGTCGAAGGCCAAGGTAAAGGTCAGGAGTATACATTGGTGCGGGCGAAACCGAACAGAATGTTGTCTCATCTGCCACGGAGACCCCCCGTGGAAATCGAGTACCTTGACATCAACTACAAGGTCTCCAAGGGACGAAAAGGTACCGTATTTCCGTCTCTCCGTCATAATTATATGGTCGATGAAGACACGCCCTTGTAGGCATACCCATTTGTCGATGTTCGTGATCGAAAGGTCATCCTTTCCTATACTCACCCATGAGTATTGAGTATTCCTGTGCAGCACTTGAAATATTTTAATGATAGAGCTTTCCAGCGCGTGTTCGATACTCATCATTCCTATTCCGTCCGCAAATCTGACAAACTCATCCAATGTTTATATTCCATTCGAAAGGGATATCGTCACGAAGCAGTTTCTTTAATGGTTTCTTCGAAATACTTACGCATTAGTGAATGTCAGGCTTTTGGTCTTCATGGTGCTTCGTAGACCTAGTGGCTACTGCTCGTAGACCAGACAGTTCGCGCCTAGCAAAAACAGCCTAAATTTGGAAATAATCATGGATGCGGAATTGCCATAAGGAGATTCTGGAGGATTGCCATCATTCTGAAACCATCTTCGTAGCCCAACCTCTCTTTAATTCGAATGGCACCCTCGTCTGCTCTGCAAATCCGCAGCGCACCGTGTGACAAGCACGTGACGCACATCAACCAGCAAAGCACTGCAAATTAATAATAAACAACTTGTAATCGATAGTATATATGCCGTCGTAAAACTGATACATGACCTGTTTCTCGTATAATCACATGCTGTTTCATCAGAGAGGCAAGTGAGTGAGACACATACTTGCAAGATGTGAGAGTAAATCATCGAGAAATATCATTAATCTCGAAAAGGTGGGAGTAACGTTGCATGGCACATTCGCCTTTCGACACAATCAACCTGGAAGCATGCAATTTAAAGGCCAAACGATGATGGTTAGACCAGTTTTCTCAAGTCACCTTCAACTCGCGAGTCGTGACTAGCATGTGCGATTTAGTCTAATTGTGCCCTGAAACGAAATTTAATCTCCCGTTCAGCCTTCTCGTTTACAGCAATATCGGTCTCTCATCAGCAAAGCGCGGTGAGTCAGGATATTTTTATTCGCCTAGTTGGAGACGGCATCGGTGGAATTCTGTAAATAAGTATTTCCTGGGGTTCAAATACCTTAGGGTTCTTGGTTAAGCACAATAGGAGATAGAGGAATGAGTAGTAAGTCTTATTATTGATCTATTATCAGCGTCACATGTAATCGTTTTATGTATTTCTCTCTCCTTATCACTGGATGTGCCTCCTAATTTAAAATTCGAATTATTCGAAGACCTTTTCATGTGTTCTGAGCAGCTGTTACTTAATTGATCGTACTACTTATGGATACTTCTATCTTCTTAGTTGACATGGATACCCTTTTTTCTAATAGGTGCGTTATCATTCCAATTGTTTAGTTGAGTTTCACTTGTCATAGGAGAGTAGCTAGCTTATGAAAATTGTGTTATTGTCCATTATTCATCCCGGGAGAATAGATTTACATGCACAAAGAACACGCACACGGATATGCAGATGAAAAATGTAATTAGACCTAAAAGGGTTGGTAAATACCAAAAGAGATGATATCCTCAGGTGGGAGTAACATTAGATATCCAGCTAGGTGTTCATGTTATAACATGTGACCCAGGCGATATTTTCTCAGAGCCGAAAACAGGATTGAAGCACTTCCTGGAAATTGTCATCCCAATCTTTTCATCCCTTTCGTTCCTAATCGTGAGGAGATTTTGAGCTGTGTCGATATGAAGAATGAGCATGCGCGAATTTATTTTTCCTGGCGTGTGGATACAATAAAAAAAATTAGATAACATATCTCCCCTTTCGAATGATTTGTGTTATTACCCGGATTTCCTTGAGTATGTAAAGACATTTAAATTTAAAAGCGTGGTTTTTATTCATCTTTGCAGTTACTCGACGTAATCGCCTCTTTTGATGCTGACTGCGTTAGAGGGGAAGCTTAACCGTAACGTTCCCATCTGAATGAAAGATAAACTGGTGTTGCCGGTTCAACGGGTCTCGCGGATAGAAAAAAGAAAGAAAGAAAAAAAAAATGGGTCAAACATGGGGGATAAGGGAGGGCAATGTTATCTGAGTCCGCGGATGGAGAAACGCAGTGACTGTCGTAACATCACGCTCGCATGCAACTGGGACCTGTTCTGTTTTCCTGTGCTTATCGCAGGATGTGACTTCGAAACCCTTCTCGTTTTCACGATGGAAGCGCCATGCAAGGCAGTCATAAAAAGTAGCATGGGTGATTGCAGTCGAAAGCCCTTCCTAATGGTTTAATCGGTGTAATGAAAGGAGGCCTCTGACGTTGACGAGAATGACGCGAAGACTGTTCAAGGCCATTGGTGCAGGATCACCATGGTTAAAACTGGGGCAGTTGTGAAGTTGTATACAAATGCCGTACATGTAGAGCAGGGGGCTGGGCGCTAAGAAAGGGAAGAGGAAATGAAAAATCCTCTTTGACCTTGGGTAAGGGAGATGGGGAAGATGTACTCGTGCTTAAATCTTTCCTCCCCTTCCCCCTCGTTCTGGATGCATTCTTCCATTTTTCTTGTCATGTGTGCTCCTCATAACATAGGTTGTCAATTGTTATATGGTGAATGTATCTATGGACATTACCTCTTCATCTCCTCCATTTTCTCAATGCTCTATAATGCTTAAACACTCGACTAAATTACACGAAAGACATGGAAATGAAACAGAAAAGTTGTAATGAAGTCTGAAACATTTGTTGGCTGTGATTCCCGTGGTTGGAAATTAATGCCTTCTCTTTGACTGGAATAATATTTCGCGTGTTAGCAGCAGACATCTACATCTTACTTCAATCGTATGCCTCAATATATGCAAGTGGAACGGAACAGATTTGCAGAATGGAAATCACTTAATCATCATCGTGAGGAAGGAATGCGCTTTTAAACTTAAGCTGCTGGATGTCCGCCTCTGCCGAGTTCAGCCGGTCACCCACCGGACGATCTGGGATGAACTCATCTGTCTGGTTGGATGACTCGAGGGAAGTCTGTGATTGCCATCGGCTGGCTTTAGAAACGCGTCTGATGACTGACTAGAAATCCTAAGCTGGTATTCACGTAAATATGTAGCTGGAAACATGGTGAAGAGTGATGAACGGGTTAAGTTCTCACACCGGATGTTAATAGTCATCATACTTTGTGTGCCGCATTCCCGTCAGTCTGTTAACTTTTAAGGGCCGATTGCATGAACGATGTTTTCCCGGTGTTTTTCGAAAGTCATCGGTTAACCGATATCTAAGGCCAAAAATGGATTGCATGAACGCTATCTTCCTTTAACCATCGTCTAACCGATGTCTAACAGAAGCCGAAAAATGTGTCGTTTCCAGACAAGGGATGGGGCATGTTTTGCCGATATTTATGCCAGCGTTCGTGTACCATCTCGATGAGTATAGCGCTGCAGTGTACTTGTGAAGCACAATGGATTCTGTTTATGGATCCACTCGATAAGGACGATGTGCTCTCGTCGTCGCATGGGAGGAATAAACATAGGTTCTGGGCTTAATCCCTTTCAAGAATATGTCGATTAGAACTTCTGCGTGAGATACCAATTTGGAAAGGGATCAGGGTATGATGTCGACCTGCTTCGCGCTCAACTCGAATGGAACGAAGATCGTGGAAGGGATCCCTTAACTTTACATCGACAGATAAGAGCAATCACTGTTCGTGTGCAATGAATCGTGATTTGTTCAAGTACCCATCCCCTGAGTAATTAATTAATATGACTCGAAAGTAAAGAGAGCATCATGAAAGCCTTTCGATTTGCATGTTGTGCTGACCCTTCGATTTTATGTGGCGTCGATTCCTAGAAATGGAATGGCGCAAGCCATTGCCCATTTGCATCGCTCATTACATTGATAGGAGGAAAAACGGAGTAGTTGTACGAAGATAATTATTCGATATTGTCGGATTTCCAGGAGTGATCGGTATTATCGACGACTGTCGTACTCGAATAGAATGCTCAGACAACTTTAATCAATCGCAAATGCTTCTATTTCATCGATGTCCAAGCAGTGCGCGATGCGGAAGGGATTATTACTGAATTTGTCATCACGTGACCAGGATCCACACGCAATTCTCGAATACCCTCATTTTGCAATCGTACACAAATGATACTCCTATTTTTCACATTTCCTACTTCTCCGTGTGTCCAAAACGAATCCTTGGCTTTACCTCTGATATATCGAAATACAGAGTAAGGTCAGAGGAGAACTCACCAGTTTCCAGGCATGATTATTTGTTGTGCAAGGAAAGCGCATTCTGTCTCTCTCTCTATCGTGAGATTTTCCTTTACAAGCTCTGCGAGATGTACATAATAATCTGAGGAAGGGTTCTCCTTTTTCAACTTAATTCGCTCGTTTTTTTGTGGAGTCCGAAGTGTATCACGCGACAACCGAGGAGTCAGAACGTGCTATATGTACCATGAAGGGTGTTTAGCCATCGTCTAACCATCGGCTATGAAAACATGGCTTAGGGATCGTTCACGCAATCGAAAGTAGACAGCGGTTAAACGATGTTTTCGTAGACAATGTTTAAACAATGACTATCGATAATCAATGTCTAAAATAAACATCGTTCATGCAATCGGCAGAAAGTCTTCTGCATATTGCCGTTTTAGGAAGAGAAATGCATGAAACAATAAAGAATAATACCCAGAGTATCGAGTTAAGAAGACTTTCGTCCAGTCGGAACGAAACATGATTTATGTCGCCTTCCGTACAGACGGAGACATTCCTCCTCATCTTTCATCGTTTAACTGGATGGATTGCTAGCCCTCTTCGTCTGAGGCATTCCAGGAAGTGTGGAAAGACTTGTACGTAGCGCGCGCATGTGTGCAAGTGCGTATCTGTGCACACGCTCTCTGTGCGTGCGCGTGCTCTGTATATGGAGATTCGAAAGCTGTTAGCCCAAACATAAATTACTTTGTTTCATGCAATTTGCAGGAGTTTCACATTTGGCAGTTGTCTCTTGCTTTTCTGCATAAAGCTTTGAATCCACGCATTTAATATTTAAAAAATTAATTAATTATTTTGCGATCACTTTTTAAAGCATTTGATTCCAATTTTTAGTACGACACATTCGTTCAGTAATATCAATAGAATAGAGCTTGTGCATCTTTTGTGACGTCCCAGAAGCGAGCAGCGTGGCAACAGTATTTCGCACGTTCAATGGTTGAGTCAGATTGGTCGTCTCCTCAAGGACAGACGATCCCAGATCAGCGCTACTTAACTCCCCCTCCCCCTCCTTACTCGATCCACGTGGCAAAACTCCTTCATTAGGCCTTTCAATTCTGAGTTTTTTTTTTGAGGCGGTATCCCTTATGCGATTACATTTCAGGATTTGTCTGCTTTAAGAAAGATGGTACTAATTTGAATTACGCACATTCCCCTCAGTAGTGAAGGGAATGAACGTCAGATGAACGCCTGATTGACTAGATTTACTACCACTGCACTTAGAATGGTACGTACTTAAAGCGGCATACATGTATACACGTCAATAGCATTGGCAGGTCTGTTAACCCGGTCGTGCACTTTCTTGGGAAATTATGGCGTTAGAGTGCTATCCTGGTCTGCTCAGAATGCGACCCTTCCCTGTATCATTTAATATCACCTGGACGTTTCTCTTCCGAGGGTGAAAGATATTCTGTCACGATCGTTCATTTCTACATGATTCATTATTGGAATAATGCCGCTCCTTGGAATTGAGAAAGCCACTGTTTTCCATCTCATTGAGCAGGCTTTTCAGAGTCAGAAGAGAAAAAGTTCATTCCTGTCCTCCCAGTGTACGTGACTGTCGTTCAGTACTGCCTTGTTCAGTGCCTTGCTCCCAGTAGAGTCTGTCAAGCGGGCACATTCTTTCTTCTTAATTCGTGCAGCGTTACTTCATGCTGAGTCATCGTGAGACTTAGGGTGTAAACGATAGTGTGGAAAAGAAGACCCGATGGATCTTCCCGTTGAGTGACTTTCGTCCTTTTCTTTTTCCTCACAGGAGTGAAGCACATATTAAAGGAACTCGATGGTCATATGAGAAGTGGTCAATTGACCGCCATCATGGGCCCCAGCGGTGCTGGGAAGTCCTGTCTCATGAACGTCCTCGCCGGCTACACGTGAGTCACAAAAGCCGCTTCTTCAATCTGCCACCTTTATTTTATGACAAGACCTTATAGTAAGAGCATTTTTTGTTTTAAGCCATTTGATGCAAGTGAGATAAGAATCAGGCAATCGCCAAAGAAGCTGTTGGATTTTTTAAGATTTACCCAGTGTATCATGCTATCACCCCTACAACCGCGGTAATGGTGTGGATTTCAACTACCGTCATTGTGTTAGCTTTTATGATCATATTAATTATAGTAGGACTGAAATAATGTTTTTCAATTCTTATGAGTAATCGTGGAAGTCTCCCACGGTGTTCGCAGTGGCGCCCATGTAATAAATAATCCTCGAAATAGCAGATTGGCTTGAGTCTACCATGCATTCCAGTCGTGAGTCTAGTTTGAGTTGATCGATCGTTAACTGTGGCACTGACAGATGGACTTAAGCTGGGATTGCTTCTGGGACATTAGGTACTGCCTATTCTACCTAGGTTTGCAGCCGTAGCACCTGACGGCAGAAACAATTCTGGATAGGGTTTGTTCAGACTTGCTGCCTCAATCCCCTGATGAAGCAGGCTGCCTGACAATTTTTCCAGGATGGGATTCTTCGCTGTCCTTTCGCTTTTTAATTTACTTAAGCTTTACCCCAATTCTGCAAGCTATTTATTTGACTTTCGGCTTTTTGGTCTCTCTGTTCTGTGTTTCTGAATTCATAAACTGGACATTTTTGCTACCCTTTGGTGTTTCAGCCCGAATCGGCACCAAAAAGTAACTTCTTTTACTCTACCTGCGCTTTGGTTGGAGGCGCACAGGTGCACTGCACAGCCAGGTAATTGCCTATTTAGGCAATATATTTGTTTTTAAACTTAATTCATTAGTATATAATGGGCTCTTCACGATTGTCAAACTATGAAGTGCGGGTTGAAAAAGTGGTATTGGAACAAAAATGCCTTATTCCTATTCAGCATTTATTAAAAAAGGTCCATCGAAAAGGTGAGCGGAAAATATTTCCAAGATCCTCCGCCAAGTAGGCCTTTTCGATGGACCTTTTTTTTTAAATAAGTGCTGAATATGCCTCTTATAGGTCTATGACCACTCAAAACCCCTATTCCTATTCGGTCCTCTTGTGTGGGTCTTCTGGGTGATATACACTATTTCATTTCCTGAAGTTTCCTTTCCTTGGGTTTCTTGAATGTACAGTATATTCCGTATATATATATATGTTTCTGTCTCTTTGTACTTCCGCTTCGTCTGAAGCGCATTTGCAAGTCCTCTACAGAGTACCGGAAACATCTTTCAGATCTCTCTGCCAATCTCCAGCAACGGGGTTATTCTGTTGATTTCCTTCAGGCTGCTTTTCGCGGAACTAACCAGAAGATGAAGGAAGAAAGAGATAGACAGAAATCTGATATAGTACATCCAATAGTTTGTTTTATTTTTTTAGAGAGATGTCACTGAAGTATACAAGATCACCCATACGTGAGACAACGATCGCGTTTTGGATGAGCCCAGTGTGTTTCCCTGCTGTCATCATATCTTAGCTTGGAAGAACGAAAAATTGCTGGCCATATGAAAGCATCCGGCTTCTGAACATCTACCAGCCGAGACCGAAACAAAAGGCTTTGTCGATTTTCATAGCCAGAGTGACTCCCTTGGATTCTCTTCGGTCCCCTCTTCCCCATCTCCTTCGCGTGTTTCCTCTTCCAAACGTTGGAAACCGAAACCGGGGCTGGGGCTGACCGTCAAAATCCTCACCGTGTCTTCAATAGTCCTCACATCTTCTTGCGTGTTCGGTATGGCCTATTGCTCTTGAATGGTCAAAGATTTTCTCCTCCGACTCGTTAACATGATGTCTAATGGGAATAAACTGGGCTCAACCATGAAGCCATTGTTACCCTACGTATGAGTCGTCATATGTACTACAGTGAAATCTCTCTAAAAATCATCACTGAGTACCCGCCATTAACAGGCCCATCACTGGGTCTTTTACCCTATATCAAGAAGAGCCGCGCAAGAGGACCGAATAGAAATTTGGGATTTTTGTCCCATTACCACTTTTTCAACCCTACTTCATAGAGAATGGTTAAGAGCCTACTTCCCCCCCCCCCCCCCCTCAAATATGACAATACAGTCGAAACTTATAGGACGTTGATGGCATTTCGAATGTATAGAGAATACCCAGTACATTTAAATACTTGACGGGAGAATAGTGTAGCGTTTTCTGGTTCAAGGTTTGGTAGTCCAGAAGTGTTTGCCCAAGTCGACATCCTGAGTTGAGGTCAAGTGGTTTTCCTGCTCCCTCGCCTAGATAGGCCTACCACCTATGTTTTTATCCACAGAAGGGGCAACCATCACATTACCAACGAATGCATTCCACGCACGTCCTATGTTACTAGTAGGGAAGCTATTCCTCAACTGTAGTATTATTTGGGACTTGCGTAACTTGAACTGGTTCTTCCTCGTCTTCCTGTTACATTGCATACACAGTACGAGTCAGTTTTGATCACTGACATTGACGATGCGATATAGTCCGAAGACAAATATCGTGCAGCCCTAGTTGGTAGTATTTTGCAGACACTTTCTCTTTCAGGGACATACGAGGTACGTTCAAAAAGTAGCGATCACTGTCACACAATTCCTTTATCTTTCAAAGAACAGCGCTGTAAATCTGAGTGTTTTAATATATTTGCTGCTTCTAAATTTATGTGAAGTTTCATCTAATGTAATTTAAGATTCTTTTACAGAATTCTACAGTGCATTTGATTGAATCAACTGATTAAATACGGCTAATATTTCGGAAAAGGAAGAAAAGGCTTTTCATTTTTTTTTACTCATAGGGGCGATAATGCTTCCAATTCATAAGCAGCTTGAAGAAGTCTTGAGAGTCTGCTTTCCCAGAAAGCACAGTTCCTAGGTATTTGCAGCAAGTCCGAGAGGGACAACCCTTTGTTTCTCCTTTGAAGAGTTAGCCATATTTATTCTGTTGATTAAATTAACTATACTTAATAATTTTGCAAAATAAATATTAGATGCGAATAAGACATTTCAGACAGATGTAGAAGAAATATAGCTATTAAAGAACTCATTGCTATTCCTGGAAGGACAGAGTTGAGCCGCGATGATCAACCCTTTTTGAACCAATCTCGTACATACCGTAAAGTGTTTCAGGGATACAATTTGTATATGTACATGTGCTATTTGTGTATCTGAAATACTTTGCAATATGTTCAATCTTGTTGGAGAAATTGCATGGAAAATATTTTTAAAATGTATGTCAGCAGTCAAAACTAGGGAGAAAGGGAGGGTTTCCCACCGTTTTCCCTTGGGTTTGATATCTCTTTATAAGTGAGCTTCATATTATGGGCCTTGCCCATTCCTGGGTTGTTGAATAGGCGGAGCGAAGATTTTATTCAAAATAGTAGGTGAAAAAGCCTCCTAATCTCATGAAAAAGCAGAGAATATTTACTAGGGTGTCTCAAAAGTTCTTGTGCATATATGTACGTTTTATTTGATGACATGTTTCGGAATAGAACTTAATTTGGTTGTATATGTGTTTGGTCCTATCTTGAAGCGCGTGTCAAGGCGCGGATTAATATCTATCGTTGTTGTACATTTCGTCTCATTTAGGATAATTGTAGCATCCAGAATGGCTGAAGAGAAACTTGCACTTCGGGTACTGTTGCGTCACTACTGGAAAAAAGGCTTGAGTGCGAAGGCGGCTGCCGAACAAATCTGTGCAATCGAAGGCGAAGGTGTGGTCCACAGAAACACCGCAGCAATTTGGTTCAAACGCTTCAACG